CACCACTTGATCGTATTCTTAAAAAAATATAAATTTAACAGCTATACCAGCTAAATAACGGTTATACCGATTCTCATGAAATTTTGTGAGTGTATTGAGTTGGTCTGAGAATCTTTCATCCTCTTAAATTCTGTTCGACATACTAAAAATCGCATATCAAGTGAGTTACTACCTCATCACAATGACAACTCACGCAACCATAGCATTTTAACTCAATTTAAACTGGGCAAAAATACTTCATCATTAACTACAGTGAGTATTAAGTACAGTTGTACAGTGAGCAATGCCAAGAAAACGCAAAGGGGGTGATTTGAGCCGTGATACAAGTAGATCTCGAAAAATGCGAAATAGAAGATCCGAAAGAACCGAAGAGCAAATTCAGCAACAAAGTACTGATGTACGTGTTAGAATAGCGCAATTTCATCAAAAAGAGCCAGAAGATGCACGAGCTGAACTCAATAAAATCAGAAGATTGGAACAACGACAATCACTTTGAGCAAAAAGTCTGAGACCAACCGATTGAATTTCTCGTATACAAATTTTGCTCTCGCCCAGCCGAAGAACAGTTTTTTCTGTTTTCGTTTGCTCTGCTCATTCTCGGACCGTTTGCTCGCGATCGACGATTCAAAAATTTAAATGAAAACTATTCATTTTTTATTTAAAATAATCAATATATTAGTTTAAAGTATGAAAAATTCACTTTAAAAATTTTAAGAAGTTTTTTCGTGAAAATTGCATGTTAAAATAGGAGACAACATACCACTGTGCAACGAAACGAAGACAAATTATTGAAAAGACTTTTTTTGCTGATTTTTTCAGTCAATCGGTCTTTTAATGAGTCTTTCTACGCGAACGTCACTCGAATCTCATGTTCGGTAAACGAGAGTTTAATGATCGACTCATCGTAATGCGTTCAACAGAAAACCGAAACAAAAAGAAACAAAGTCTGCTGCTCAGAAAGAAACCGAAACGGCATGCTTTTTTTCGGTTGTTCTCGCGAACAGAGCGTAAGGAAAAAAACGGTTAACAGTTGCAAGCTATGCGCAGAACAAATGACCAACAACGACAACAGGTACATCGAGCATTTATATCTGATTCATTCCTGAGTCTAGCATTCCAGTATGAGCCTGATTTTGAGTATTATGCTCACTCATAAGTGGTAATTGGTGCTATGGACAAGGAATGTCCGCATTGTCATGCTCTGATATTAAAAAATGTGCAAATGTGCGTCAGGAAAAGTGCAACTAACAGAAATTGAAACACTACCTTAATTACGGCTTACTTATCGTCACGGATCCAGATTCTAACGTGTTCCTGAAGTCAATTCGAACATTCAATTCATGCTTTCAAAGAACATCGTTCGGAGCAACAGATATAGTTCGAAATACTAATGGCCAAGAGAATCAGAGGCCAAGTTTATCATAAAATGGGCGCACGGCTGCCAATGCCAAACGAACCACATAAATTCTTACAAATCTACTTTATGGGCGGTTAGGAAGATTGGCATTTGCAATGACTATCAACAAATCCCAAGGTCAACAATGTTTATTTGTGGCTTGGATTTAAGAACAGAATTATACTTGGCATACTCTCGAGTGGGTAAACCATCAAGTTTGTTTTGTTAGCTAAAGATGGACTAACAAAAAATATTGTTCACGCTATAGAACTAAGAGATTGACTTGCTGAATTACGATCAAACAATGACTTAAAAATAATGTTTGCCTTTTGTTATTTTTATATTCCCTTATGGTTCACAGCGCTCCAGATGACTTTATAATAAGTCTAGAACTGAGTAAATTTTGTACAGAAAACAAAACAACGTTTGCCGGGTCAGCTAGTAACAAATAAGTATGTAATACAACAACAAATATATAATTTGATTTATCATTAACCTAAAAACAAATACTCGAACTAGCTTAAAAAGTTACAAAAATGAAACATTTTGTGCTGGCTTCGAAACGAAATCGCATGCACGTGTATGTGATCGGTGACATGCATACATACATAGATCAATCGAAGCTCAGAACAACTTTCCTTTCATGGTCCTTTCTGAGACTGAAAACAGAAAACATTCAATGAGAATATTAGCGTAAGATGAACGTAGTATGAGCATAAGAAATAGAGTAAGATGCTCTCTGGGGCCTGCTGGAGCCTGTCGCAAGAAATACATATTTGCGTCCATTTTCGTTGTATGAAATTATGAAGGTATGATTATACATTCAATGCATTATCAAAATATGGACAAAATTAAACCATCCACATGACATTGCTTTTGAGTGGTGTAAAACAAATACTCATTTTGCTTATCGTAAACTCAAAATTTGAATGAGCTCTTATATAGTGCTTTTTTATATAAAAGAAATCAGCAACAATATTGCGACAGATTTTTAACAAATTAAGCCATCCATCCATATTATTTCTAAACAAAACTAGTTCCACCCAAGTTTTTAAAAAGATTTTCCTGAGTGAAATGTTTTGATCCCAGTGAAAATAAAATTTTTTTAATCGAACCCCTAATTAACTAATTTTAAAAGATTATTAGAATATTAACTTCTGCAGCAGAAGTCTGCAGATGCATTTGTGCCATTCAAAAATTAAACAAAAAAGTTATGACATATAAGATCGTTGAGTTATATAACAGCTATATAATGTAGTCGGACGATCTTTATGAAATTTGGCAGTTCATTAATGTAGAAAATCAATCTGGAGAATCCATTCATGAGAAGTGGATTCAATGAATCCAATAAAAATCTAAACTTTCTATCTTACAAACGATACAAAGTAGTTATATAGCTACAGTATAAGTATATAGTATGTGTGAAATTAAAAATTTCAGGATGCATGTTATGATAACGTGAACAAATTATTTATATCAATATGACTTGGGGCTTGATGATGCCTCAAGGAAGGAAAATAAACGATAATGAAGAAAGATGCGATAGACAAATATTTAAAGTGACGTGATTTACATCTTAAAAAGTTAAGATGTAAAAAGTATTTTAGAAATCTATATTAGCGATTTCAATGAATCTAGTTATTGAGCTGTAATATTCAACTGATTCTTGAGAAAAAAATCGATAAACGTTTTCGTATTTGAGCAGTAGCGGAAAGTTCCTGCGAATATTATCGTATTTGTAACAATTTAAAATAATACCTGGTCGAAATAAATATTGGGACACTTTATTTTTTTTAAATAAAATCGTAAATGATTTTTAATTTTTTTTGTTTTTATTTTATTTGTAAATATAGAGAAGAAATGCATTGAAAACAGATAAAACTTTTTTATTTTACTGATCCTTTCCACGAAAATTGATATTGTTATGTTAGCTCCCTTAGAAATAATTATTGGGACACTGTAAAGAAAATAATTTTTAAAAAATTTATAATTGTAGAAAAAAAATGTATTTTCTTACCTAATAGTGGGTATTGCCTCCGTGCTTTGAAATTACTTCAGCCAAGCGTTTAGACATTAAATTAGCCAAATCCTGCAATGTTTTTCTTCGATTTTGGCCTATTCTTCAACAAAACCCTTCTTGAGCTGTGCCAAATTTTCAAACTGTCGTCCATTGCTGTATACTATATTTAAGAGTATACCCCACACATTCTAAATCGGGTTTAGGTCGGGACTACAAGCTGGCCACCCCAAAAGTTAAATTTTTTAATCCTCAAAAAACTGCTTTGACACTTTGGATACGTGGATGGCGGTGTTATCCTGTTGAAAAATTAACTTTTTCTCAAAATAAGTTTCGCCAAACGGTATCAAAACGTCGTCCATTAGTCTTATGACCATCTGAGACTTCATTCGTGTTAATAGAAAAACATGTCTAGAGAGATCTTCCGGAACGTAAGTCCAAATGCGGCCCATACCATGGAGGTGGGCCCCTCCGATTGATGGTATGGGCCGGACTTGCGTTCACGGCGGATAGATCCTCTAGGACATCATTTTTACATCAGGACCATTCAATTCTCAGATGGTCAAAAGACTAATGGACGACGTTTTGATACCGTTTGGCGAAACTTATTTTGAGAAAAAGTTAATTTTTCAACAGGATCACGCCGCCATCCACGTATCCGAAGTGTCAAAGCAGTTTTTTGAGGATTAAAAAATTGAACTTTTGGGGTGGCCAGCTTGTAGTCCCGACCTAAACCCGATTTAGAATGTGTGGGGTATACTCTCAAATACAGTATACAGCAATGGACGACAGTTTGAAAATTTGGCACAGCTCAAGAAGGGTTTTGTTGAAGAATAGGCCAAAATCGAAGAAAAACATTGCAGGATTCGGCTAATTTAATGTCTAAACGCTTGGTTGAAGTAATTTCAAAGCATGGAGGCAAAACCCACTATTAGGTAAGAAAATACATTTTTATTCTACAATTATAAATTTTTTAAAAATTATTTTCTTTACAGTGTCCCAATAATTATTTCTAAGGGAGCTAACATAACAATATCAATTTTCGTGAAAAGGATCAGTAAAATAAAAAAGTTGTATCTGTTTTTAATGCATTTCTTCTCTATATTTACAAATAAAATAAAAACAAAAAAAATTAAAAATCATTTACAATTTTATTTAAAGAAAATAAAGTGTCCCAATATTTATTTCGACCAGGTATGTGAAATTTCCATCGCAGTTGTGACTGCCATGAACTTTTAATTTGTATAGGGTGTATTTATGACCGCTGAGGATTCCATTAATTTTCTTGATCTGTAACCTTTTAAGATTGCAGTTTTTAGATTGGAACCATGGTTTTAGTAAGGTATATGGATATAGAAGACAGTATCCTTTGTTTCATTCTATGCAAAAGGAATTATAGTCGCGTTCCCAGTTTTAATTCTGTTGAAAATGTGAGTGATAGCATCGTTGATCGTTTATCTGATATTTATACAGGATCCGAAGAATTATTTCTAAAATAATTTTATAGAAATGCTAGATTTTTGCGTCACTCACCTATTAATGTTGTTCTTATTTTTTTAACAAAACAAATATTTTCATATTTTTTAGGTTTTGTGCTTATCTCCTACGTACGAATTAGCTATTCAAACTGGGGAAGTGGCTGCAAGAATGGGACAATTTTGTCCAGAAATAAAACTTCGATTTGCAGTTCGTGGTGAAGAAGGTTTGCCCTAATATATTTCACTTTGTTTGTTTTTGCATTGCTATTATTATTTCAGTTGATCGAAATAAAAGAATCTCTGAACATATTTTAATTGGAACTCCTGGAAAAATGTTGGATTGGGGATTAAAATTTCGACTTTTTGATATGAAAAAAATTTCGGTGTTTGTATTGGATGAAGCCGATGTGATGATCGCCACTCAAGGTCACCATGATCAATGTATTAGAATTCATAAGTAAGTACACCTCTGAGAAAACTAAAATTGGAAATGTGTCGTGTCCATTTTAACTTTATCTACTTAGCTATCTTTAATAAATGTTCACATATTTTTCAGAATGCTTACGATATATTTTTTTTATTTTATTTTGAATCTTGTACAGGTTTAAGAGACTATCAATAAGTTGTCATCTTAATTATATTAATTAAGCAGGGATAAAAAGCCGTTGAAATGGTAACTTAGCTGGTTAAGATATTTTTCTAGTACGTTTTGACTCGTCTTACTTCCATGGGATACTTCAATGTGTTGGTTGTTTGCAGGGAATATTTTACATTTTAAACTGCTTGAGTGAGTCATCCAATAATGGATCGAGGAAGGCTTTTCTATAAAGGCTGATTAGGTATTCCACGTCTTTCTATTTATTAGGTATTCCATTGAGGTAGGTATTTAGGTATTCCATTGATTTTTCTGTTAACTCTGTTAATAACCCATCTTTGCCGGGATTACATTTTCTCTCAGCATCCAAGAGTCAAGTTCTATCCAGCTGCAGGCATTGGCTTTCGGCTCATTTTTGCAATCCTTTCGGTTTGGTTTTGTATTGTTGTATTATTGCATATATTTAATTATAGCGGCAGCGGTTTCGGTGATTGCGATCTCTGGTCGGCTTGCTCATGTCTAATCGACGCAGTTTTATCTGTCAGCACCGTTATCGCTGCAGGCATTGTCCCTTCTTGAGCTTTGCGCATGTGCGCCTTGTCTTTTCTTCGTATGCTTTTTAAGTCCCATGGTGCGCGATCCTTCTATTACAATGTAGTTGACCCCTGGGCTCCGGGAAGTTGCAGTTTTCCTAAGCTCATCGCGCCTCTCTGACAACCGCCGTCGACCCCCGCTCCGCTCCCTTTATAACCGCAAAACAAGCCATTTCATTAAACGCGTTAATAATTCAACAGGTACTTTATTTACTATTGCCTATTAAATGACCTGGAATTTTCAAACACCACTTTAATACAGTGGGCGGCAAACTCTCATTTTCACGCGGGCATAGGGTAGGAAATTCTGCCGCAGCGCTGCAGGCACACTGACAGTGTGAGCACTTTAAAATCTTTTTTAGAAACTCTCTCGTTTGCTCCCATTTGACAGCCCAAACTTAAAAATAAAACTTTTTCCACTAAGAAAAATTTTCTCAGTAATTGGGTTGAAAAAAGTTTTTACCCATAGAAAATATAGATAGGAAAGCGTAGTTTTTATTTGTTTAAGACAGTGGTGGGCAAACTCTCATTTTACATAGCACGCGAGTATAGGGTAGGAAATTCTGCCGCAGCGCTGCCGGCACACTGACAGTGTGAGCACTCTCAAATTTTTTTTAGAAGCTCTCTCATTTTGATTCATTTGACAGCCCAAACTAAAAATCAAAATTTTTCCACTTAGAAAAATTTTCTCTGAAATTGGGTTGGAAAAAGTTTTCTTCATGGAGAATGTAGATAGGAAAGCGTAGTTTTTCATTTGTTTAAGAACTGTTGCTAGCAAAGCTTTTTTTAAATAAAATACTCAATTTTAGTGCCCATTCCAACTTTTGAATTAACGAAAAATAATTTTAAAAAAATGCGTTTTTTTCGCTCAGTGAATTCTCTGCTCTCTTTGTTTTTCTCTGCTACGCACACACTCAAATTTTAAACATGTGTTAGTTTTGCCCACCACTGGTTTAAAAACTGTTGCTAGCAAAGCTTTCTTTAAATTAAAATAAACTATTTTAGTGCCCATTCCAACTTTTGAATAAACGAAAATTGAATTAAAAAACTACGTTTTTTTCGCTCATTATTTGACAATGGGCACAAAATCAATTGACAAGGGGCCCAAAAGGTCCATTTATAGTGATGACAAAGGTTCAAAAGCAAGGGGCAAATTATTTATGAAAGGGGTAAAAAGTAACGATATTTTGGGACCAATTAGTCTGCTTTGCGAAAAAAAACGAAATTTATTTGCATTGTATGGACCTGTGGCCAATAATCATTCTAGTAGTAGTAGAGCCCTGACTAGTTATAATTATATTTATTAAAAACCTAGCAGTACCTTGCCACGTTTCGCTGTGGCATATTGTGATTGCACGCATAAGAAATAAGTCAAACAAAAAAGAATAATTTTCGTGGACTACCTATGTATGAGGATGGCAAAATCGTGAGCTTTCGAACGTTGGTTGTATTACGGTCATTCATCACAGCATCCCGCAAATGGATATATTCCTCGGACCGAAGTTTCGTCTGATTCAACCGGAGGAACAGCAAACGTTGTGTTTCAATTTTTGCATACATATCGACAATGTACTGATGAAACAACTGACGACATTTCAATATATGATTGTCATCGGTCATCCGAACCATTAATCGGTATGAGTAAAAGTTCATCGCGCTGCACTTTTTATTCGTTTCTACACCATTGACTGGATCTACCATCCTCACATTGAAATGATATCCATCGGCACCATCCCAGAAGATGAGTGGATACTGCAAAGCATCGTAACAACGGTGAGTTTCTGCGACGTTTACCAATTGATCGTTTCGTAGATGGAGAACAATATCTCGAGGTTTGAACTGATCCCCGACTATGACAATTGCCACTTCGTCTATAGTTGGAACATTGTATCTCCTGATATGTTCTTCAGCAGGCGTTTTGTCTGCATGAATGACAATTTTATGGGTATCCGAAGGCATCATATAGATTGCTGTTTTGAACAAACGCACCAAATGGTTTTGTTCGTTAAAAAGCTTCTGTAGCTGCGAAATAATGGGCTTCTTCAGCGAGGTATTGATTCCATAACGTGCATCGACTTCAGCTCCATCATCACCAATGAAGTATATTTGAAGAAATTTGTGTTCGCTGTCTGAGAACGGAAGCAGGGAACCGGCTTTGTGATAGATTTGTCCTTTGATTTTAAAAGTTGGCATGAATTGCGCAGTTTTAATTTCCGCACCAAATGACGTCATTTGGAAGCAAAAGATTTATTTCCTAATGTTCGACAGGAAATGCTTCGATTCAGCAGTAGATCCAGCTAATAGAGGTTTTGGTGGTGCTTCAAGTTGAGGCAATTTCACTTTCCTTTTGGAAATCCTTTGGTTCCTTTTGGATTGAACACAATCCTTTTGGTTCGTTGTTCAATTTGAGAGCCTGACAGTGTGCAGACCTGATTCATCCGGCCAATAACGACATTGCGATTCGAGCTGTAATCAACAGTTGGATTATATCGGAATGCAAGACGATTGTATTGCAGGTTTCGATCTGTTGCAAGCTGTAAACGCGCTTCAGCTACCCTTGCCCTGTCGCGTTCATTATTTTGAGACCAAATCAAATCGATTGTTGCAGAACGCTACTGCCTAACTATCAATCGTGTTCGCGCAAGCCTAGCTGCTCGCGTTTCTGCTGTCTCCGCGTTGTGCATCCGCATGGCTCTCAGCCGCTCAGTCTCTCGAATGGAGGCCCGCTCTTCGTCAGTCCTATTCGAAATGTTACGTCTTTTTGCTTTTGTATTGCGAGTAAGACGACCAAAATTCGACTTCTTGGGTGGCATGACTTCGTTTCTAATGACTTCGTTTCTAATGACTTCGTTTCTAACTGACATTTTCATTTGACATTTTCTTCTTAGCTGTCTGCCTAAATAGAAAAGTAGGGGCACCGGGAAACGCGAAAAAACTGATATATTCGCAAACGCAGATAAGCTATCAACATCAAAAGTAGACATAAACCGAGCTGGAACCTCAACGCTTGATGGGTAAAAATTTGGGCTTAAACGTTTCAGAACTTTTCAAGTTTCAGAACTTTCAAAAATTTGGGCTTAAACGTTTCAGAACTTTTTTCAAATTATGTAGATACGAACAGAGCCTTTTTATATATATATATATAATTGGGTTAAATTTACAATTTAGCTTTAGCAACTGCAGGCCTTAAGCTAGTTATTTACAGTACTCTTTATACCCTATACTATTATAATTTTGGTCAAAAGTGTGCAACGCAGTGAAGGAGACATCTCCGACCCTATAAAGTATATACATTCTTGATCAGGATCACCTCCTGAGTTGATATGAGAATGTCAAACTGTCTGTCTGTTTCTAGGCAAACTAGTTTTAAAGCTATCGACTTGAAACTTTGCACACACCCTTCTTTCTTTTGCAGTATATAAGTCGGAACAGTTGGGATCGGCCGACTATATCCTATAGCTGCCATATAACTGATTGATCGGAAAGGGTATAACTTTGGTGTTTTTAGAGTTAGAGAGTTTGAATTTGACATGAGAGCTATTTGGCAAAATAAAACGACATACCAACTTTCATAGGGATCGGCCGACTATATACCATAGCTGCCATATAACTGAACTATCGGAAATGATCAGTGCTCGTAAATAACTGTTGACCGTTTGTCTTCTTGCTCTCTCGTGCTCTTGCGAGCACAACCGATAAAGTTCATACTCTCTCGCTCTCGCTCTAAGCAAGAGACTCTTGCTGTCTTCATTTATGTTTCCTTTTTATGTCGCTCCTTTAATGTGCAGTCCATTAAGAGCGGAACGAGAAACGCCCGCAAAATGAGAGCCACCAAAAGACCGATTGACCGAAAAACTCAGCGCAAACGGTCTTTCACATTTACGCACACACACACTCAATTCACGATCGCAATTAATATATTTCATCTGAAAAACAGACGCCTAACGATTTACTTGTCTATGCGTGTGATTGTATATCAGTCCATACGCAAAAGTCCTTTTGTTTCACCGAACACACGGTCTTTGAACAACTTGAACAAAACAAAATAAAAAAAATGGTTTCGCTCTGAGCGAGAGCGTGCTAATTTTCTTAAATAAGCTTCTTACCGATAAACCAATTACTCTCTGAGCCTTTTCGTAAAGAGTCGGGAAAAGACACTTCTTTGCAGACAACGATAAAAAGTCTACCGTTATTTGCGAGCTCTGGAAATGACCCAACTTTCGAGTTGGACACATATACCATTTTTAAAAGGTTAATCCAGAAACACTG